ATGAGACAGCAGAGTTTGGCATTAAGGAAGCATTGCCAGAATGGCAAAAGATGCGCTGCATCTGACTTGAAGCTCTGGACTTCTGGCCAGCTTCATTGGAGGCCAGATGAGAGAGGGGCCAAAAGCAGAAATGCAGAAAGCAGATGCCATACTCAAGTTCTGGGAGATCTGGGGAGCATAAGGCCATGCTTCTTTCAAATGACCCTGAATGAAGGAGGCTCCAAGGATCCTTTTTTCATCAAAGTAGCCTCATTTTCCTAAAATATCAGTCCAGGGAGCACCCCAAGGTAGGGAGGTAGTTTCCGCAGTGATTCCAGAGGGACCTTCATGGGGTTTCTAGCAGGTCTAACTCACAAGAGCAGGTCAAAGAGGAAGCAGAAGATGTCTCAAGAGAGTTTGGAAGTCTTGTTCAATCATACTCATGACACACCCTTATTGGATCTATCTGGGGAAATTTTGGGAAAAGTCAGGGAGCGTCAGTTCCCCTCATAATCAGTGAGATTCAACCAGACAAACAAATCAGGGGTTGGACAAAAGGGTCTTATTCCAGGGAATAACACTAGATATGTAGCAGTTTTTTAGTTAATAGACATGTTTCTCATTTATCATATCCACTCAAGACCTTTTTAGTCTTTTCCTTTCCCATTTTTCAGTTTTTGAGTAACAACTCTCATTTGTTTACTTGACTCTGAACGTTGTACAGCACTATGATTCTGTATATGGTTAGATTTCATTGTTGCCGTTTTAGTTCAGAAGGGCAAAGCCCTAGGTCCCAGTTATAGTTAACCCTCTCCTTATGCTGACCTCTACCCAAGTTCCTTGAATAGCTACTGTCAATATTCCCCTGTCCAGAGTGGCTTCAAGTCTCACTTCCAGGATGCCCAACTTCTCCCCATTCTAAAGCTTACCTCCATCACATTGCCATTGTCAAGTTCATGAATAATAGTCAAGTCATAGCTGGTTCTAGTCTACACAACCATTATTCCTACAGAGATAACTGCTCTTCCTAGACGCTTACCTCTGCTGCTGTAGCAGATTGCAAGCTGCTCTCAGCTGCCACATCCCAATCCTTGCATTGCTCCCACCATCCCTTCCCCCATGCAAATTGTGTGGTTATTTTTCCTGGGCAGCCATTGCTGATTGTCCCCATCCTCACTCTGGTCTTTCTCACCACTGATATCTAAGATGACCTCTCCCTATACCCTAGGACATGGCCTTCCTATACTGCCTGTCTCAGACCTTTAGGCTCTTTCTACTACTGGAAGATACTATTTCCTGAAGGTTACAGATTTCCATGTTAGTGTTCTATATATGGAGCTGGATCAGGTTCTCATTTGGGCTAGGACAGGGATAAAGAGGTGATGTTGCTGTGTATAGTATGGTGGCAGTCATGCCCCATAGTCCTTTCAGCATCTTAAAGATTGTGTCCATGAGATCAATCTCCCCTCATGTGGTGTACACATACCCATTTTATTAGGCTCCCCTCCTTAGTGGTTATAGCATTGCCTTTACAACCACCTTTGTACTTATGATGAGTAGGCTCTAAAAGTTACGGCACTAAAGGTTGGGGGAGATTCCTTACCACCAGCCCTTCCAGCTCGGTATGCTGTGAAAAGGAGGAAGGCAGGGAGATTAAACATTTGGATATTTTATAGATTTTATAGATTCTTTTTCTGAACCCTAATTCTAGAATAGAGGTGTATTGATCAATTAAGGAAAAAGCCAAAAGCAGATGGAGTTTTTCTAACTTCTTATTTAGGATACTATAAGAAAAACACCTCATAGGGATCCCTTACTTTGGCATGGCTGGGTACATTAATGTGAAATGGAGGTAAGACAATGTTGGGCAGATAGTAGAACTGAGTTAGCAAGCCAAAATCTCTCCTGAGTTCTGTATGCCTTGAAAGCAATCTAGAAGTTGCTTCAGGTCCCATGAGGAATACTGAAGGAGCTGAGTTAGAATTCAGCAGGCCAGTCAGAGGGCCACAGTAGGGACAGGACAGGTAGACCTAGCTGCCAAGGTTGCGAGAAGAGTGCAGACAAGGGCATGATGAAGGATTTGGCTGAGATGCAGAGGGTTGTGCCGCTCTAAAAGGTGTCTCAAAGAGGTTGAGCCAGCCAGGAAGGTCTCCTGGGTTCAAACCAAGCCCAGAGATAAAATCACAAGTTCTTCAGCTACAAGACTTCACCAGAGACATGGCGGGTAGCAGTGGTGCGGAGGGTGTCCAGAAGACACCACTGCCTAAATACAAATCCTCTTCTCTTTTGCCATCTAGGGAAAGAGAAGGAAGGAAGAATAGGGAGAAAGAACTCTGGCAGTGGGTGTCTTTGAGTGACTGAATAGTAACCTGAAATGAGATTCTCCTAAGATTAGTAACGTTAAGATTTTTCTTCTGCCCAGTAAAAGTACAGGTTAAATTAAATTAGATCAGTTTATTTTCTTGGATTGAGTATTCATATGTAAATGTGATTTTCTCTCTCTCCCTGTGTTTATATAAAACACACGCACGCACACACACACACACACACAATTACAAATGTATATTGATAGATTTTTATAAATATATTTAACAGTAGGTCTTGATCAAATGTCAAATAAAACAAAGACAGCGAGACTAGAATAATTCCAGGTAATTCAGAGGCATCAACATTTTTGAGTATTATCTCTTGGGCCTTCTCCTGTACATATGCTTTGTATTTAGATATTATTGTTTTTTCTGGGCACCTTTCAAAATTGGATACATCTGAACACATTCTTCTAGTCCACTCCTGTTTTCAAGCACTTGCAAACCCTTTTTCTGTCCTGATTTGTTCTGTGCCTCTCTCCTCTTCCCCCTGAACCAATGCTGCTGCTGCTGTTTCGACGACACCTGGAAGAGCCTCCTGACAGCTTGCCACACTTCCCAACCTGACACTTCAACATCTGTTAATTTACTAGAGGATGTAGCTGTCCATTGTACTTATTTCCTCTAAATCATTAGATGACTTCTTATCAATGAAATAATATGCTATACCTATGCAGGCTCTCTATAACCTGGCTAGAGCCCGTGTTTCAACCTTTGTTTCCACTTTCCACCTCCCTGCTGTTTTTCTCATGGTCTAGCCTTGCCTACCGATTTGCTGTTTTTTCTTTTTTTAAATATATACACTTTAAAATTAACTCCAGATGGATTAAAGATTTGCTGTTTGTTGAACAGATTTGAAAGCTTTAACTTCAACCTAGTCATCTCATATCCACATCTGCTCCAATGATACTTCTTTTCCAAGGATTCCCTGATAGTCTCCCTCTCTTGTTCTGCTGTTGTATTTTGTTTATGCTTCTGCAATAGAATATAGTCTGTGCCATAATACACACGAATTCCTTCCTTCTAGATTCAGAGTTCCTGGAAGGCAGAACCCATTTTTAAATTAACTTTTCATCCCTTACTCTGCCCAACACAATGGCCATCATCTAGAGTATTTGATAAATGCATGTAAAAGTGCTTTATAACATCAAAGTGCTATGTAAATAGTAATTCTTATTACTATTTATATGATATTATATGATTATTACTATACTATTACTAATTATATATTATTAGTATTTGTTAAATGGAGTTGAATTTACTTTTAGAAGACTTTTCATTTAATAAGAGAAATGATTTCCCACCTGTGGGACTCATCATAGAAGAACTGATATTATAGGTACTATAGATATATAGATAGGTGGGAATGATATTTCCCACCTTTGGGAATAATCATGGAATAACCGATACGATGTCTGAAGACATAGTAGGCAGAGATATTATGGAGGAGAAAGGAGAGGGAGCCTTAATTTTGGAGTCTTCTTTTTCCTTCATAGACATGTCCCAGAGGGCTGGCCTTGTCCAGTGCTCCTTATCATTTATCCACGGGTTTTATTCACCACATATTACAAACCACAGACATTACTGGAAAGTTCCCCATCAGGGAAGATCAAAGAGGTGGCACTGTAATAAGAAACAGCAGGCTGTGGGGAGCTGGCCCCAGGCAGAGGCTCTACACGTGCTGCCTTACATGTCAGGCCAAGCACTTCTCTCCTGACCCTTGAGCCATAGGCATGCTATGAATATAATATGCCTGGCATTTCCTGATACAGGGGTTATTTCCATCTCTAGGAATTCTATAAATGTTCTCAGAAGCCTTTGGGACATTTACATTTTAAAAATAAACCTTTAGAACTCAACACAAATATCCTAGAAATCCGTGTATCAGCCTTTCCTTTGAAAACACCTGTAAGTCCTGCTGTGGCTTGCCTGAAGCAGGAAAGGGAAAAACCACACGGATCATGCTTGTAGGTAAAAAGTGCCCACAAGAAATAGCCATGCAGAAATTGGCACAAGCATGCTGAATGTCTGCCAACTTTCTCCATGGGAGCCTTGGAAAGTTTGATCAACCCAGAGAGGGAAGGAGGAGCGAGGAAAAGGAAAGGAAATTAAAGAAAGAAAAGGAAAAGGCAAAGGCGGGGGGTGGGAAGGAAAGTGGGAGGAAGGAAGGGAGGGAGGGAGGGAGGGAGGGAGGAAGGGAGGAAGGGAGAAAGGAGCAAATGAGGAAAGGGGGGAGGGGTGAGGAAGGAAGGGAGAGAGGGAGGGAGGAAGCGAAGGAGGGAGGGAGGGAGTGAAGAAGGAAGGGAGAGAGGGAGGGAAGAAGAGAAGGAGGGAGGGAGGAAATAAGGAAAGGAGGGAGGAAAGAGAAATGAAGAAAAGAAAAAAAGATAAAAGAAAAGAATGGAAGGAAGAAGCAAGCTCCTGGAAGCTGTTACTTATCACTTGGGCAGGCATTTGAGAATTTAGTTTTTCAGGCAGCAAATCTGCTGAAATCCATATCTAGGTCATCTCTGGAGTATCCCCATAGAGGAGGAAATAGCCCAAATGCAACTGAAATAAGAGATAAAAGGGAGATTTTCTCCAATGCTGGATATTGTAGAATAGTATCAACTCTCCCGTCTCCTGAAACAATGCAGACATGAAAGGGCATCCTACCTGCTATGCTGATGGTGGCAGCAGCCTTGGAAGTACTGAACTTCTCTCCATGCTTGTTGGTAGCTATACATGTGTAGAGTCCTGGCTTGGTGATAAACAGTTGCAGTCTTGAGTCAATCACTCGGTCTTTCACACTCTCTTGAATAGACCCAGAAGAAACCTGATGTAGTAAAGGAAAATAAAAGATAGAACTCAGTCAAGGATTTCTTTCTATACCGTGTAAATAGATTTGAAGGAAAAAGCATTAAGATTATGATCAAGTACATGTGGTGCACTGCAAAAATAGCCAAAAAAAATTTGCCCTCCCTATGTCCATGCCCTTGCAATGTGACTTTGTAGCTCTTCCCTCAAGAAGTAGCATTTTTCTCCATAACTTGAATTTAGATTAGCCTTGTGATGTGTTTTGGAATGAATGAGCAGAAACTAAAGTTCTTGCACATTGTGGCTTGCTCTCTTGTTTATGGAATCTGGAGCCACCTATAAATAACCAAGAGCCAGCATGCTAGAAAATGAAACACACACAGCCTGTTTATCCCCACTGCCCCAGGTGGGAACCAACCACAGCTATCTGAGGTACACGTAAGGCTGTTCTGAACCAACTAGCACCATTTCACCTGCCAATCACAGGAACTTGACCAGTCAGGATCAGGCAGTCCTGCTCACCAGCAAAACCACCCAGTTGAACCACAGACTTGTGAGCACTAATAGTTACTGGTTTAAGTTACTAAACTTTGGGCTGGTGTGTGATATAGCCATAGGTAACCAATGCAAGGTATGAATAATATACAGTGTGAATCCTCCGATATATGTCCTCAATGTCCTGCAGGTGATAGTGAAGTATAAGAGGTTGCAGACTTAGGGACTTATTTTCATAACTCCAGTTCTCCATAAATGCATGTCAGATAAGTAGATGGTTATCAAGAAAAATGTTTGTGAAGCCAAGTCAGTCTCTGAGGCATGACATACATAATATATACATAATACCTCAACATCACTGAAAACATCCTTAGTAGGAAAGAGAAGCAGTTTTTAAATTACCTGACCTCTCTTCTCCTGGACTTCGCCCAGGAATTGAAACAGTTTAGCAAAGAGACCAACATGTTAGGAAGTTCATGCAGGAAGTACTACTTAAACGAGAGAATCAAATGTTCTTAAAAAGCCAAGATATCACTGCAATATTGGCACCCAATTAACAGCTGAATGTACATAAATGCATATATATTAGTCAACATTACTCCAACTCTATAGGAAAGATAGCTGCCCAGCACATTTTACAAGGTTGCATAGTTAGAGTTTGCATCCTAGTGTGCCTAACACCAAAGCCTATGCTTTTAGTTATTATGTTACAGTGTCTTCCCTAGTCCTAGAAGACAGAACAAATGAAAGTCCTTAGAAAACAGGAAGAGTAACAATTACCTTAACAAATCAACCAACCATGAACGAAATACATGTCTGACAAACGTCATTGTTAAGGTGGTGGCATTTTATAAAATGGTGTGTTTTTTCCCACTGTTTTCTTGAGCACAATACCACATTTTCAATAACTAATCTTTAATTAACATTACTTATATGAGGGAAAGATGATGCCAATTTCAGGGAAATTGGAGTGAAATGACAATTAAGGAGTCAACTGTGGTATGCCTTGACTTTAACTTAAAGGAGTGGAGATGGGTCCCATAGTGGCCTGAACTTGGCTTCTTGGCTGAAGGAGATTCCTCTGTCCAGTATCAGGGAATGAGGCTGAGAATGAGACATTTTGGAGCCAATTATTTTATTGTATTGCATGAGAGGATTTTCACAGTTTGACTAGCCAGGAAGAATAAAACCCTGAGGTAAGTCAGACTTTCTTCCTAGCTGCCAGGTGTCTGGCTATCCCTGGCACCAAGCACTGTGTAGCAATCAGGCCATGAACATTGTCCAACTAGCTTGTCTTTTTATTCTTTATCTTCGCGAATAGTCTAAGTTCTTATGATAAAAACTGGCTTATGTGATTATCAGTTTACCTTAACTGGGGAATCTTTCCAGGTCAGATCAAGTATCGTGGCATTTTCCCCAGATAAGCATCCTAGGCTCTATGAGAAATTAACAAAGTGGAGAGAAAAATGTTTTTAAGAGACAAGCACTCAGCTGGGAATTCAAACTGAATTCATCATTATCATATTTATCAGAAGTGCAGTGTTTTGTCACATGAGTATCCAAGTTAGATCAAAAGGACTGAAAATATTTGGACTCTCCTAAATTTTAATACAAAGTAACAATGAGAAAAAAGCTGAAGACCCAAAGCCTCTATGCTGAATCAACAGACTTTATGTTATTTTGTATTTTATATTTTGTTTATAAATATCTTTTTCCAGAACAGTTTGAAAATTCTTTGCAAAGATGGTTCCCTTCTACAAGAAGCAGGAATGTGCAATGCCTTAGAGACAACTTTGAAGCAAGGAATCTCCCCAAATGTTGCCCTAAGTTCCACTGTTTTCATGTTCACACCTAAGAAAGTCATTCTTAAACACCTCCTCAAGATCACTGAAAACATCGTTAAGCAGGAAAGAGAAGCAGTTTTTAAACTGCCTGACCTCTCTTCTCCTGGACTTCATCCAGGTGTTGAAATAGTTCAGCAAAGAGACCAACACATTAGGAGGTTCATGCTTGAGTACGAAGTGGCTTCTGAATACCTCCCCCGCTTTCAGAGGCCTTGCTTGCTTCAGTTTGTGACTCATGCACAGCAGGCCCTGTTAGTCATAGTTAGAATTTGTTTTTCTTTCTTCATGGATCATTCTGATCAACAGTTTAGTATTTTTGATGACCTGAAAATAAAAACAACTCCCTCTGCCCTCCATTTTGATCTTTTATCATTCCTCAGGTTTAAAAGATCAAAGGGGTAAGTCTGGATTAATACTGTGAGCTTTTACCAAGGTATGCCTAAAGAAAACAGAGTACTTACTTGAGGTGACTATGTTTGGTAGTTACAGGAAATACATGATATTCTCTAAGTCACTCAGGCATATCAACCTGAGGGAGCTGGAGAAACAGCTCTCTGCTCTGGGCGTGATGTTGTCTTTCTGAGTTAGCAGTAACTATGTGAGGAGATGAATCTGTTAATTTGCTTGACTGTAGTAATCATTTCATCGTATATGTTATCTAAACATCATATTTTACCCCTTATATATAATAAAAATCAAAATAAAGCATCTTTTTTTTTCTAAAAAGAGGTGGTATGATAGGAAGCGCTATTAAATAGGCCTAATAATTTATACCTGACATAATGTGTGTAAACACTCTTTGAAGTTGATAGAGCAGTTATAGACCTGTAGAGTACTTCTTAACATATCATTAATACATTAATAATGCCATCTTGAGAGAATCTACCCCCAGCTATGGATAATCTGGTAATTTTAGGATTTGACCTTAGCAAAGGAAGCCTCTCAAAGATATTCTGGTCTCAATGGCCCTGTTTTGCAAATAGTTTCAGCTGGCTGGGAATACTTGAGAAACTGTTAGAATGTGGCCTAGTAGGGTTCATATTTATGCAGTTGTAATAATGTCTGTTTATGAATCATAGAAAAAGGGATAATAAACCGAGAGACATTTCCATCGATTTTCTGATTAACGTAGCCATTAATATTAGGCTCTTTCAAACAGTCTGCTGAATTATTCCACATAAGACTTGTTACATGTAATTATTTTGGTTTACTCAGCTCGTAAGATAAAAGGACTTCATGGGTCATGTATTTTTAACAAAAACTAGCCTCTTAAAAATATGTCTAAATATAGATATGCCTCCCTTTAAGAAAATTTAAAAACACAATCTCAACCTAGGTGATTTGGCTATTTATTTTATAAAATTCTAATAAGTTAAAATTATTTAATTTCTAAAATATTGTAATTATGTTTATTAGACAAAGCAAGAGGGACATGAAATTTTTCTATATTTTTTAGTTGCATGCCAAAATAACAGAGATATTATTGGTATAACTTTAAATAAATATACTTATAAAAATACAAAGAATTTTCTTTTTATAAAGTAAGCTCTGCTCTATCCATGCCAAACTAACTATTTCCAAGACTGTAAAACAAAAGGAATATTACCAATCACTCTGAAGTTAATCTGTGAATTCAGATTTCCACGAAAAATGTATGGCATTTCCATAGGAGGAAAGCAAGATATTTTCTAATCCCTGTGGAGCGTGTTGCTGGACTTTCTCTTGCTCTTTGACTCTAACTGTTCAGGGTTTTGGTTTACTAGCAGGTTCACAGAGTGGGAGAAAGGGAACAGTCACCTCTTTCAGAGTACCCATTGTACTTAGTAGCATGCTACGGCATTAGTTTACTAATTTGTAGTGAGGGAAGAGCCACAGTTCAAACTGTTTTATTCTGTGCCAAATATCTCACAGCTCTGCATTTGTCTTTGTTCGGTCCACCAAAAATGATGTCAGGACTATAGGATTCTCTGTGTTCTCCTCCGTGGGCTTTCTGGTTTGCCACTTTTACAACATTAAATGCCTGACATTGCATCTGTGTCCTGTGATTTGCGTCAATGTGGACAGTCGTCTTGATTTCCTTTCAGACTTGGGTAGAATTACCAAGAACTAAACTTGGCTCTAAGAGCAGCGTGCACTCTCTGACCATAAGGACTACAGATGCACTTTGCTTTCTGCCTGGATGGAAGTCACTTAGTTTGTTTTGTTCTTGTTTTAGAATCTGAGGTGATAAATTTATTTTGCCTTTCATTTTTTGTGAAATGACCCCAACTTACAAATTGGGGGTCTCAATAAGACCGAAACGATCTTAAACTATCCTACTCTTATTATTCCTGAACTTCAACAGAGAATAATCATTCATCTTCCACTTCTAACCTCATATGAATCTTTTGAAAATACTAAAAATTTAAAAAATGTATACCTTTCCATTTTCTTGCTATTTTTACATAGGCAAATTAGTGAAGTTATATTGTCAGTCTCCCAGTTTATACTCTTTTGAGAGGCTTTAGACAACTGTAACAATTTCCATGTAAGAGCCGCAAAACAATGACAAATAATATTCAAATTTTAAATAACACTTGAAATGTACTTTGAGAGTTAAGAAGAACAGGGACTCCAAGTTACTTTATTGTAACAACAAAATCAGGGAACATTAGCCCTGTTGCCACATTAGAGATCATCTGGATAGCTACCTGACATCTGTGTTAGCGCAGATTTGAGAAAATCAGTGTCTGAGGAGTAAATGGATCCCCAAATCACATTAGCTAAAGAGAGGCATATACAAGCTAAGTCTTCCAACTCTCCATCTCATTCACATTCTACCATGCCTCAAGTTACAAGCTGGAAAAGCACGTTCATTTCTTTATGTACTATATTTGAAAGGACGTAGGATAGACAAATAAAATGAAACAATTTTATTAACAAATTATGAGAAAATTGATTTTGTTCAAGTAACAGAAACTTCAGCAAAAATGATAGTGAAAATGACTAATAATACATGAATTATATGTCTTGGAGGGTGTCATTGCCATAAGACATTCTTTGTTATTGGGGTAGCCATGGATTTTGACGTTTTCCCCGTTTTATGACATCCAACTAAAATTTCACACATTGACACATTTTGTTCTCCGTGCCCTTCCCTGCCTTCCCCCTGTTCTCCTTCTTGTCTGATGTCCTAGTTCTTACCTTTCAGGCTGCAGCTTTACAGGGACAAGGGTGGGGCCAGGTACAAGTATAGAGGAAAGCATTATTTTTTGAGATTCCTTTTTTTAAAAAAGCAAAATTAGACTTTTAATTTTTTAGGCTTATTGGTGGTATAACTCACAAATAGAAATTGTACATATTTAAAGTGAATAAGGTGCTGTTTTGATATATGTATATATTATGAAATAATCACTGCAATCAAGAGAGGGAACTATCACCTCACATGATTACCTTTGTGTGTATGTGGTGAGAACACTTAGGAGCTACCCTCTTAGCAAATTTCAAGTGTGCAATACAGTGTTGTTAACTGTAGTCACTACATGGTACATTACATCTCCTGTACTTATTCATCTCGCTGTGACTGAAACTCTATACCCTTTGATGATCATCTCCCCATCCTCCCATCCCTGACAGCCACCATTCTACTCTGTGCTTCTAGGAGTTCAACTCTTAGATTCCACATACAAGTGAGATCGTTTGGTATTTGCCTTCTGTATCTGGCTGATTTCACTTAGCATAATGTTCTCAAGGTGCTCCATGTCGAGATGCTTTGAATAAGGTTACAGGTCTGGGAAACTTCACTCTCAGTCTTCTGAACTCTCTTCCCTTCTATCTTTCTGAAACTGTAAGTTGTTTAACTTTATTTAAAAGCAGTATACAAATTAACTTATTACATGGAGATGCCTCAGGGTTACCATTCTTTCATGCTGCAAAATGCTTCTAAAGCCTACAGTGTGCCAAGCCCTAATGACAGGATAACTTCCTGCTTTAAGGCTGTTTTTTATTGTTTGTTTTGCTCCAGAGTATTTACCTTAGTTTTAGTTACTGTTATTTAATTCAGAAGAAACATTATAATGACCTACAAAAGAGAGGAATAAAAACAATTTAGGAATAAGAACTGGGTTATGAAAAAACTCTCTGGGATTTTTGGTGCTCATCGTAGGCACAGAGACACCAGAAGTGCACACACAAGAAAAGAAAGCCATGTGAGGATACATGGAGATAACCACGTGAAGCCACCTGCAAGCCAGGAAGAGAGGCCTTACTGGAAACCAACCCTGGTAGCACCTTGACCTTGGACTTCCAGCCTTTAGAACCATAAGAAAAAAAATTTCTGTTGTTTAAGACACAGAAATTTTCTGTGATATTCTATTATGGCAGCCCTAATATACTAATATAATTCTGGAGAAAAGAAAGTCATGAAGATACAAAATAGATAAGTCTATGAAAGAAAGTGCCTTGGATTGGGTAGAAATTATGCTTAATATCATGTGAGTTACCATAAGGTTTCACCTTCTTTGAAAAGAAGTCTCCCATATTCTTGTCGTAATGCTTGCATTAAACACACTTTGGGATGATGTCCCGATTTGGGACACTTCTTTGATCTCCAAATGGTACCATTAATATCTGGGCTTCCAGAGTTTGTCAGTAAAAAGATTTTATAGAAAATCTGCTTGGGAGTCATTTTCAATCCTCCCAAGATGACTTTTTGGGGGACTGACTAGACCCCAACATAGACTTTCCATCAACTAACAAATTGGGGGCTTGCTAATGTGGTCAAACATGGCTAGCCTGAGGAACATGCATCACTGGTGTCATCTTAAATGTTCCCTGATTTCTGAAGAAACATGAATGTGTCTATGAGGGTGAGAGTTGGTTTTAAATATCGGGCAGGCACAGAGGATATAAAGCCAACTTACAAGTGTGTCAGTTGAGTTAGAGCTCTCCTGCACCAGTTATTGCTCCTCCCTACTTCCCACCCAATCCTTCTGGGGTCATAAATAGCAGCTAGGAAACAGGGGAAGAAGTGAGTGAGCATGAGCTAAGAAGCCAACTGTAATTTTTTTACATGAAAGTTAAACTGCAATATCCCTGAGAAGGGAGGAACTGTGAATGCCATTGGATGCTTCGGTTATTACTTGGGACTAGACACTGAAATGACTTAGTTGGGATGTTAATGATTTAAAATCAACTAATAGTAATCAGAAAAATCACAGAGCCTCCTTAGGGTAGGCTTAAATAGTGGCAAAAGAATTTTCTCTGCTGAATAAAATGACAAAGAAAGTAAGATTGTGTTACTGTGCAAGTCTTGTTCATTCAACAGCTGAGTTACAGTAATAATAATCTTAGCTCACATGTTTAACTCTTGTTTATGGACCCAGAATCCTAAAATATAAACATAAAATTAAGAAAAAAATGTATAGAAAGATGGTATTATCAAAGGATGAGACATTTTCAGCAATTTCTGGAAGATAAAGAGAGGTGATTGGATAGATAGAAAAATTAACATCCATTAAGTAGCTGAAACCTACAGTGCATAGCAGGTAAACAAAGATAACTAGGCATACAAGGAAACAACGCAAAATAAACATGAATCAGTGGGAAAACAGACACAAGAAGGTGAAACCTAGCACAAAAGAAGAGGTTTACTGAGAGAAGAATGGTTACATTTTGCCTATAAATTCATGGAAAATTTCAAAGTTCAGATAGCAGGGGCTATAAGTAGGAGGCAGCTTGAAGGAAGTCAGCAAAGTAATGGAAGAACTCTTGGAACATTTTTCTTCAGAGATTACCCATTCCCAGGTATTTCTTTGTCATGATGTGACAACCAACTAATACAGCTACCAAGCACTTGATATTATTCCTTTTAATTATAGGTATGCACCCATTAACCAACCTTCCTTCCCCACTACCTTTCCGAGCCTCTAGTATCCATCATTTTACTCTCTATCTCCATGAGGTTAATTTGTTTTTAGCTCCTACATATTAGCAAGAACATGAAATACTTGTCTTTCTGTGTCTGGCTTATTTCACTTAACATAAATATCCTGCAGTTCCATCCATGTTGTTGCAAATAACAGGATTTTATTCTTCTTATGGATGAGTAATATTTCATTGTGTATATGTACCACATTTTCTTTATCCATTCATCCACTGATGGATACTTAGGTTGATTCTATATCTTGGTTATTGTGAATAATGCTACAATAAAAATGGGAGTGCAGATATCTCTTAGATACACTGATTTTCTTTCTTTGAGCTGTATATCCATCCAGTAGTGAGATTGCTGGATCATATGGCAATTCTATTTTTAGTTTTCTGAGTAACATCTTTACTGTTTTCTGTAGTGACTGTAGTAATTCACATTCCCACGAATAGTGTAGGAGAGTTCTAATTTCTCCTAAGGTTGAACTTTCTGTCTTCTTTTCCTGCTTCATTTTTCTCCATAGCATTTGATGTCATACACATACAACACATATTTTTCTGTCTTTCCCCATGAGAAGGTAAGCTCTTTGAGGGCAGAGAACTTAGCCTGTTTTGTTTACTCCTATATCCACAAGGCCTGGAATAGTATTAGATGTTGAGAAGCTCGATACACACTTGTAGAATGAATAAATGAATGAATGTATGTAGGTAAAGTGCTTGAAATAGGGCCTTGCTGAAAATAACCACTTAATATAAGTCAGTTATTATTACCACTATTAAAAATGATGAAAAGAATGTTGAACTAACATGAATCCTAATTCCTAATTACTTTTCATCAAAGTAGGCTTCTAGCAGGGAACTCATCTTCATTGATGAGTTTTATGAAAATTATTTTACTTATATGAGAAGGTATTACTACCACTTCCCATTTACACAAAGACACAGAGAAAGAATTTGGTTTTCTAATATTCTTCATGATACAAGAAGCAAACTCTTGCAGTTTGATGTCTATGGCAGTGGCTTCTAGGACAAAGATATTGGGAGGCTTTGAAAAGTGGTGTAGGTGAGACCAATGACAGAAATCTGGGTTAACTACAAGTATATAGTCTATCCTGCAATTCACCACCAAAGGGTCTTCCCCAGACAAGTCCCCACACACATGACACTCACAGCATTTCCGTTTTCAATCCAGGTGATGGTGGGGACAGGAATGCCTGTTGCTGTACAGTGCAGGGTCACAAAGGAGCCAAAGGTGACATTGTGGGATTCAGGAGCCCTCAGGATCCTGGCAAAAACTGTTAGGAAGACAGAATTTGTGAGTGATGCTTCTGTAGGAAGTGGTCAAGCTAGAGTGATCTTTTAAGAATGCAAATTAGACCATGTTCCCCTGTGTGCAATCCTTCAGTGTTTGCTCTCTTTTAAGGATAATACCAAATGCCATGGCCGAGCCTGCAAGCCCTTTATGTCATAACTTTTATCACCACTCAAGGACACACTGACTTATTCCTAACGTAGAAACTTGCCCTTGTTCTTCCTTTGCCTAGACCACTCATCCCCCAGATCCTCACTTAGTTGGTTCCTTGGATCATTCAAGTCTCTGTTTAAGTGACATTTTCTTAGAAAGGTCCTCCTTAATCACCCAACATCAGGTGTAATTCTCCCCCCATTCACTTTTCATCAGCCTACATTATTGTCTTTACAGACTTTACAACTATCTGAAATTACCTTATTTATTTTTTACTTGTCTATTAGTCCCCTTTCTTGTTAGATTGTTTCGAAGCCAAAAGCCTTGCCTATTTTGTTGATGGCTGTATTGTTTCAGGCAGGGTTCCTGACCAGAGCAAGCATAGGCTAGTGTTTTATTGAATTAATCAAATAATTATGCTTTATACCCTCAACTGTATCACAATGGGAGGGCAGAAAAATTGTGTCAAACTTTTCAGTTAATACATTGGGGAAAAAAGAGAGAATATTTTAGATAAAGTACAGGCAGGAGAATGAATAATTTATATTCCTTTCAAACCTTGAATCCCCACTGATTAAGTAAGAGGAAGTAACTTTGATGTAGGAAGAAATTTTACCTTTACAGAGTGGGATTGAGGCTCACAGTACATTATAAATTGAAGGATACTTAGATTCACAGAATCATTAAACTTGGAAGAGACTTCAGAGATCAGCTAGATTTTGCTCTTATTTTATAGATGTAGAAACTAAATCTTTGTTAATTTAAGTAAGATGGTTTCCCAAGGTAACAACAGTGATGAATGAGAAACCTGGACTCAGGTCTTCTGACTTCAAATTCAGTGTTTGTTTAAACAATTATGGAATCTTTTGGATGGCCTGTTATACTGTAAATGTATTTTATCCTCCTAGCTTTTGATTTCTAGGACTTAAGCACAGAACATAATATTAGAGTATTAAGCCCCAATTAACACAGTGCTTTGAAGCTGAGTTCTAGTTAATTGAAATTTGTGAAGACTGTATTCTAAACTAAAGTTTGGGGAGACTACATGTGCTAGATTAGGAGATACGCGGGGCAATGATAGAACAGGTCCTGGAGCAGTGTCACGAGTTGGTTTGATGGCTGAATACCTCTTAAAAAGCATTGCATAATTTAAAGAGATTAAGGAATATTTGATTTGTTTGACAATTGGGGACTTTTTGTGAATTTACATTAATTTGACTTCCTATCTTTGGATATTGATATTTTAGATATACAAATGTGGGGCCCAAAATCCAGGAGAAAAGAAATACAAAGAAGATGCTGTCTTCAAGGCAAAAACAGATTACAAAAAAATAACAAAGAATGCTATGAAATGTTTAAAATGGAGCTGAATCTCTCCCCCAAAACCAAAATTGAGCCTGATTTTAAGTCCTGGGGTCTAATTAACAATCTATAAAAATTAAAGGGTTGAGTAACATTTCAAAGAACGCTATGGAGATGCAATTCAATCAAACCCAGACATTTAACAGGGAAAATTATTAGCATTAGGGGGTACGAAAGGAAGAGCGATCTATTATAGATTGAAAGAGACTTAAGAGACATATTACCTAAATGCAATGTGTGGCCCTGCTTGCATTCTTATTCTCCCAACTTAGTCTAAATTCACACTTGATAACTAACACTGATAGGCATCCTAGCAAGGGTGCATCCAGGTACTTATCTAATATTTTCTAGTTGCAGTAACAGAGACATAGCGTCCATGTGCATCATCTGGCTAAAGTAACTCTTGTAGGGGTTGGGGCTATGCTTGTGTTTCCTAAATTTTTAGAGTGTGGGACTACTGCATGACCATCTTATGGGTCCCATTGCCCCCGAGAATCTGAAACAAGCAAGATCTTTGAGAGATTTGGAAAATAGTGCTAGAAAAATGTTCTAGTAACATTGACTATACCCTTGAAATTTCAGAATCAAAAAGGCTTTTTGAATGAAAGCCTTCTGGCTGAAGAGGAGCAGAATAAAACATTGGAGAATAATACAATTTCGATTATGTTTTGCTGCTTTAATTTATAAAGCCAAGAGTTTTAGTTTGGGGTCTTTAAATTCTTCCTGGAAATATAGTAATCAGAAAGGTTTTATTTTGTCTTAATTTACAGCAGTTTTTCTTTTCTTTTGGCTGTTATTATATTATTTGGAATATCATTTGGTCTTATTGCAAAACCTCTGATTATCCATGTTGCACAATGCAACCAAGCGTAATGTGGGATAGTAAATAAAACAGAGTGATTCAATGTGACTTTGGAATTAATTTAATTAATATACTACTCTGCCCTCCATGGGAACTTTCTCGGGGTTCCAATGGAGCACAGGCGGGTACAGGCGTACTACTGACATTTTATAGGTAGCTTCCTGAATGTGAGACTGCTGATAAACTTCTTTCTGAAGGGGGCAGATTTGCTTTATCTGGCATGGGTTTTGTTCAGTGCAGTGGGTTAAGTTAAGAGGACAAAAAGGCCAGGGATTAAAAGGAAGCTGCTTTCTCCTGCACTCTCACATTCTCTCCAGATGATGAAATAAAAACTCGATCCCTTTTTTTTTCAGTATTGAAAGTTAGTTTTCACCCTTCTCTTAGTCTTCCTCCCTTCTCAAAGGAGATGGCAGATGTCTCTTGTGTTTCCACTCAAATATTTCCTTATCATAGTACTTTCTCATCCCCATTCCCCTTACCCTTGTTTATATTTTATCATAACACTTACTACTATCTGAATCATTTGGTAATCACTGATTTGTTTGCTTGTTTTTGTTTTTTTTCTGTCTCTCCCCTCTAGAATGTAAGCATCACAAGGGCAAGGTTTGCTTTGCTTTTTAATATAGGCCTGACTGATATAATCTATGTATCTATCTGCATATCTATCTCTATTTCTAGAACCCTGCATAATATATATATGGTTGGCTCTCAGTAAATATTTGCTAAGTGAATGAATAAATAAATGAATGAACATAAACTTCTCCAGTAAGGTTGGGGGAAGAGACTTGGATATGTTATGTGTATCTAAGCCCTATTCTAAGCTATCAGTCTCCCAGCTTTCCTGCATCTAAGAAGGATATAAGGTTGATGTGTGGTAAGTAAGTTCACCAGGTCAGGGTCTCTTCATCCTACAACTAGGAGTGAAAGGGGAAAGAGTGGGATAGGGACGAGGAGGATGAGGAAACAGAAGTTATGTTAGTCTAATTCTCACATGGAATAGAAATCTTTATTTTTCACTCCAGCCTTATCAGCAATAAAGTTGATATATTTTTACCCAGCTCTATCTGAGCAATTGCATAATACTCAAATTTATCATTTTCAAATCTGAAAGGTAAAAAGGTGATGCAGGAAATTTTGACATGTTTTTCAAGCATCAAAAACAATAAAGCCAGTTGCAATTAAAAATAAATGCCCAGTTAACCTCCATGAATAATAATACACCTGCAATAACAAACTTGGACATAGGTCAGCCGTAAATCCCATTATTTCAGTGATAGTCACAGCTGAAAATGCATTATTTCTAGGTCATCGACTTAAGTTATATGACATGTTTCTCATCAAATAAAATGGGTATAGAATATCCCTATTTTGTGTTTTATTTGCATGAAAGAATATAAAAGTATTTTGTTACATAAGCAAACTGCTTAATAGAAGTAGCATTAAATTATTTAATAAGTTGGAAAGCATTTATAGCTGTTTCGATACGGATTTTAAATCAAAAAAATCATCAAGCCCCTCCTTCTGTACATAGTTTTATCCATCTTTCTCCAATTCACTGTGAGCCCTAAACCACTTGCTTTCCTGTGGGCCAGCAAGTTCATCTGCAACATGGAAAATAGACACAGGTCATATATTTATCTCTGGGTTTTCTCTTGTGGGATCTATTCATGAGTTTCGAGCTTTAATTTATCTTGGGCAGACTTGCAGGGCTTACTGCAAGTGGAGAATGCTGTATTCAAAATTGGGCTCAAGAAGCCAGCAGTTCCAAAATCTTTTGTAACGTAACCACGTTATATTCTCTCCTTATTTCAAAGCATTTTCAGATACAGAATCAATTTTATGGTTGGTTGTCATCTTACAGAGTAATATATAGTAAAAAGATAAAGGCATAATTTACTCTGAAATTGTACTGGAGTGCAATAAAAACCCCAAGGGACAGGGGATCCATGTTAAGTCCTGAAATAAATGAGCGGGTTGGCTGGAGATGAACTACCTCTCTTTTCTTGGTAAGAGAGTAATGCCAGAGGAATACTTAAGTCTTTTATCAATTTCTATTTCTGAGCAGTTATTTCCAAAGACACAATGAGCTCCCATGGATTTTCTTTTCCCTTGCTCTTTTGTTATTTTCTAGCTTTCCTTGATGAGGGTTTTTAGGTTACATGATTCAAACCAGCAATGACTGATAGGAATAAATTAAGAAAAAAAATTGCATAGGACCGGGTAAAATGTGTTTTTACCTGCATTTAGTTGTAAGCAACCTGATATTTAAAAATAAGAAAACATTTTCAGTACTTTATGTGAGATACAGAGATGAGGAGATATTGTTTTAAATAATACCAGTTTAGGATTAATTCCTACAGTCAATTCTGTTACATGAGAACTCATGACTTTCATCCCCTAAATATCAAATTTTAGGTTAGAAAAGCACAAAGTTTGGGGCTTAATCAGAATACAAGGTACTTTTTTTGTGACAGGAAACTGTTGTTCTATAGTAGAGTTTTTCCCCAAACAAATTTAATTTCCAGCTATTTTCTTCTAAACATATTCCACTATGTATATATGTCTATGTGCAATGAAAATAATTTAATTTTTATTGATATGGAGCA